ATAGCATAATGTGGAGAGGTGGTGGTGGTGGCGGTGGTAAAGGAGAAGTAGGACCTAGTTGGACTTGGTTCTTTCATTCTAATCATGGAATGTTGATGATGTTAGATGAGTGTCGAGTCGACCAAGTTCCAACGACGACGTAAGAATGGCACCGAGACCGGACATACTCTCTTCAGGATCTGGCTCCCAAGGCTCCAACCAGCTCCAACCCCAACCTACAAACAGGAATTGCGAGAACAGGCATCTTTGCCCGGTAGTGGCCTTGAGCATATGTTTTGACGGATCCCCCATGGGTTCATACAATCAGGGCAGGACCGCTCATCCCGGCTCATCCCAGCTCATCCCAGCTCATCCCGGCTCATCCCAGCTCATCACTGTTGATGAAGTTGGATGATGGCTCAGTGTTCCTGAGGTCAACGCCTGAGTCTGGCAGTTGGGGATGGGGCAAACTGGGCAGGCTCAGCGTTCCAATTTGGGTTGGACACAAATTTCACAGTTTTTTTGATACTATTGCCAAAGAGATTTGGGCCCCCGACGTCGGGGGCCTTCTCCACGGGCACTGTGTGAGGACTACTCATGGGACTGTTTGGAGCTAGCTCGTAATCTAAACCAAAGTTCCCAGTTTATGTTCTTGAGAGAAGTTGTGCCAGACAAATAGTTTCTGGACTTTCCAGTGAAGGTCATACACAGACCTTACGGTGATGAGCACTAGTGGTTAATTTTGGTGGTTCACACATTGAATTTGTGGACAAGCCAGATGTGGCTTGAAATGTTCTGAAATGAAGAGAAAAATGTTATTTTAGATTTTGAAGACATACAGGCAGAAATAACTGACTGTAACCCTACACAACACCACTGCTCAATTGTGTCAACTTGTAAAGTTTCTTTGCTGTCTGATTATCCCAGGCAGGTGATCACATATTGACTCCTGGGTTGAAAAGCTTGAAAGCAACTCAAAGTGTGAGGTCTGAAAATCACATCCATGTATATAGTGTGCCAAACAATCCAGATTACAAGGAGTACATTGAGGACTTTGACTGTGAAGGCTGTTTTCTTGATGAATGCTTGTGTCATCTGTCCTTCAACTGTCTTGTAAATTGTGGCTTTCTGCAATTGCTGGTGCATAGGTGGCAGTGTCAAACCTGCCTTGATGGCCTTCTCAAATACATAACAGACAGAGACCTGGCTTGACATTTCAATGGTCATATAGATTGGAATTTGTCCAGCAACCCCAAGTGAACCATTGGTTGCACCAAAGACAAGGCTACGGAAGCTTGAAGGAACCAGTCTGAAGTTTTTTCAATTGGCATCAATACCAAAAGGGCAAAGAGTTATACTAGAAAGAAATGTACTCACCTCATCATTCTTATGCATTGGTTCTCCAAAACAAGACAGACAGAACTTAACATCTTCACAGGTTAGGCAGGGCACAACTGGACGGCCCCAGGGGTAGACCTTCTGGGGTTGATTTTGGGGTTGGCCTGCCCACCCCATGCTGGTGGTGTTAAGAGCCTCTTTACGCAGATGGGTTCTTAGAAGACCAAGTTGCACCATCAAATGCATATCTCAACACTGAAGATGATGTTTCGAAGTGAGATGGACCTTGAATTTGAGCAACCAAATTGTGTGCCCAAACCAATCACCAATACCAATCAAACTGATTCTACTGATGAATCACAATATTTAGATCCTCAGTTTGAAGATCTTGACCAAGTTCAAGAGTTTGAAGATGGATTTTGTGGCAAAGATGAAGTGGATTAAGAAGAAGAACAAGAGGATGATAATGAGATGGGTTATATAGATACTCCCTTTAATTTAGAGTTATACAACATTTGAGTTAAAGCAGAACAACCTAATACTATTGTACTAAAATAGGAGTCTGAAAACAAGGATTGGGACAAGTATGACCTTTTCAATGATTTCTCTCAATGAATGTTGATGAAATGCCTCCTTTGATTTACCACAGTAATATGAAATATAAAACACATCGTTTTCAATGTTGTTCAGTGTTTTATACTTTGATTTTGGTTTTGGTTGGGATTTAATGCCTCAGTGCCCTCACTTCAGGTGTGCCTTTGGAAAGTTCAAAAACCTTGCCCACCACATCATGAAATCACCTTTGTTGCCTGATTGAGTACTATCAGCCTCATCAGCAGAAGTTGTATCCTGGTCCACGTTGACCACAGTAGGAACCTGGGGAAAAATCACCCAAGTAGTCATCTATGGTGATTGGTCAAGTAAGTACAGTATAAAGCAATTCTGACCTGTTAATTTGCAGCCTTTGAAACTTGATTCTTCTTTGCTGCCTTTTTTGTATTACTTCTGGGGCTGGACAGGGCTGCCTTTTTATTAGTCTTTGAAGTCTTTGCAACAGTTGAAGATTTCAAGTTGCTTGCTTTGCTGGAAATTAGACCATGAGCTGAAATGGGGCCCAAGTCTTGTGTTGCTCTCCACTGTTGATCCGGTGAGGTGCACAAAAATCCAAGTGACGGTTGAGATAGAGAGTGTCAAAATAACAAGGATTTAAACTAGATGTTGAAGCATCCATGATTGGATATTGAGATAGTAAAGATTTGAGAAAGGTGGATAACAGAATTAACAAATCAATGATTTGAGTGAAGGTGGTCAGAATTGATTAGAAATCAATGAATTGAGTGAATTTAATTAGGGTTGATTGTCAATAAATGAATTGAGTGAAGTTTTGATTAGAATTTAATGGACCAAGTGAAGTTGATTAGGAATGAGATTGATTGGTTTTTTCTGTGGGCAAATTGCTTTATGCTGGTGGTGATAGAAAATGTGATATAGAGCACAACTTGATAAAGAAAGTGATTTAATAAAGTGTGTAATCCATAGATTAGGTATAGAGGAAGAAAAGGAGGAAAACACATTTTGACTATTCATCATCTTCATG